TTAATTTTTGGACTCTATCAGATGTCATTTATAAAATACAGTTTGCGTGGTTTCATGGACCATACTATTATCATTGTATAGTCCTCACAATTATCATCTATATGTGCTGGCCTGCTTACTGAAAATGCAGTAATTATCAGTTATGCTTGCCCGCTATTTCGATGAAGTCAGATATTCACATACCATTTACTGAGTGAAGTGCATTTCTTTTATTGAGTCCCCTTTAAGATCCTTGAGAGTGTCTCCAGTCTCTGTACTAAAGCACTCTTACAAAGGCTGATCAGGCTGAAGTCATGGGGTTATATGTACATGGCATAAATATCTGGGACCACAGTTTCTTTAGATTTAAACTTTACGTTAATCATAGACTGTTTAAAGCGTATGCACATTTTAATCCTGTAGACGTAACCCTGATTTCAGTTACTACAGTTGTAGTTTTTTTTGTGATTTTTGCTATTACTTAATATATAGATACACACAAGGTCCTTCTGATGGCAGAGTTACTAGTATAATATTATTCTTTTGGTGACAAATTGGCAACATTAAGATTTCACATTTTCCTGTTATTGCTTAGAAGTCTTCAATTGGTGATAGAAGCCTTAAACTGGTCATAGAAATACACGTTGTGCCATTATAGAATTTCCATAGTTTTATTCATTTTGCCTTTTATTATCACATATTTAGATTCAGACACACAATGTTCTTTTGGTGGCACAATCATATCATATTTACTTTCGGAAAATTGACACCACTCTGATAGAGATTTCTACAATGTTTGAGAGACAAAATGTGGTTTCGTGTCACAGAAGTAGACGACGTGCCTATAGAACATGCATAGTTTTACTTCTGATGATAACGTGACAATGTTTGGATACAGGCACACAATGCCCTTTTGATGGCAGAATTATACCAAGTTTACTTGGTGAAAATTGGCACCACTCTGATCGAGTTTTCTAGCATGTTTAAGAGGTTTTAAGAACGATGGAACATGCATAGTTTTACTTGTAATGATTTACTTGTTTAGATACAGGCACACAATGTCCTTCTAATGGCAGAATCATACGAAGTTTACTTGGTGAAAATTGGCACCACTCTGATCGAGTTTTCTAGTATGTTTGAGAGACAAGAGATTTTTAAGAATGATGGTTCCGTGTCATAGAAGTAGACGATGTGCCTATAGAACATGTATAGCTTTCCTTGTTATAATTAGTTATTTAGATACAGGCACACAATGTCCTTCTGATGGCAGAATCATACCAAAGGTACTTGTTAAAAATTGGCACCACTCTGATTGAGTTTTCTAGTATGTTTGAGAGACAAGGGGTTTTTAAGAATGGTGGTTCCGTGTCATAGAAGTAGACGATGTGCCTATAGAACATGCTTAAGTTTTACTTCTAATAATTACTTTTTTAGATACAGGTACACAATGTCCTTCTGATGGCAGAATCATACCAAGTTTACTTGGTGAAAAACAGGCAACACTTTGATTTTTTTAGCATGTTTGATAGACAAAAGGTTTTAAGAATGGTGGTTCTGTGCCATAGAAGTAGACGATGTGCCTATAAATATACATAGCTTTACATATTATAATTAGTTTTTTTAGATACAGGCACACAATGTCCCTCTGATGGCAGAATCATACCAAGTTTACTTGGTGAAAAGTTGCCAACACTCCGATTGAGTGAACTATGGGGAACGGTTTTTTTTTGCGCATGAAAAATCTGTGGGTGAAAAATCCTGAAATATGTCAGAACGAAATTCAGAAGCAGATTGTGATGTGGTTTTCCATTTGTTACCTTTATTTTGTTTTTGAAAAGCTGAATATTTTCAAGTATCCAGGGAAGGTTTATTTGCATATCTTCACGAGCAAAAATGTTAATGTCAATTTTAAGGCTTTGTTTTTTTGTCTGTGAAGCGTTAACATTTTTAACATTTAACGTTTTTTTAGGAGTTGCTAGCACAATGTTTTGTTGTGTGAAATTCAACTATATGAAGCTTTTAACTCTAGCTACTTTAACCTTAATCTCTTATTTTTTCAAGCAGGTTCATTCACGTTTACAGTTCAAACTTTTTGTGCATACAAACTCAACATTTGAAAATCACTGCAAAATTGCCTGAAAACGATTCTGTACTCCAGAAAGCAATTATTAATAACAACCAATTTCGTGTCATCCTTTTAGAGTTTTTATGTTTAAAACAGCAAAAAAAGTTTTAAATTCCATTGGGTATAATCAAGTTTGCATATCTAAATGCGCAGATTTTTCACACGCTCAAAACCTGATCGGACCCGATTTCTAGGAGACAACATTAAGAAATGTTGGTTCTGTCATAGAGGTAGACGCTGTGCCAATAGAACATGTTAAGTAAGACTTAAAGTTACAGAGTATATAAGTTAGGGGCTGCCCAGTCAACTCGTTGGATACTGCAAGGAACACAGTACTTACCATCCTTCTAAAAGTATGACCAATTGTACCGACTGAAATGAAAATGAAAAAGAGAGCTTATTTCTAAAACTCGACTACACCTTAGGCAGTAATACCTCCAGTCAGAATCTTTAGTGCAGTTGAAAACCAGTTGGCTGTGCAACAGTGATGACATCACACCAATAACACCACGATGTTCATTTTATGTAATCTCCAACCAGACGTGTGACCCCAGCTTGTTTTGCTTGTCTTCTTTTTAGTGGTGCAGATTTTTTTTTTGTTCCTCTTGATCAGTTACATCATGAATGTGAACGGGCAAAAACCCAGAACACTAGAAGAATGTATTTACAAAACATCTAAAACGTGTAAGACAAAACAGAGCCTTTCATCTATGAGGAGATTATCTTTACACTGTTATTGAGAAAAGTGATAAGAACATGTGACAAGTGATTGGAACTGTCCTAGCCAAAGACAGAAAACGATAAAGTTGGATGTCAATATCATTGGTAGGGAAGATGTGGTGAATTACGTGAGTAGACGAATTGAAACATTGATAGTACAGGGCATGATATGTCTGACGATGTGACCATAAGACCAATGCCACATCTAACTTAGGACAGTCTTTTTTCACCACATCCGTCTAGAACATGTGTAAAACTATATTTACATGGAATGTGTTGATGTTCGTCATTGAGACCCATGTTAGGATTTAGAAATTCTTTTTTCCTTTTTCAAGTATACATATTAGTTAACGGTAAGTGAAAGTTAGATCCCAAGTCAGTACAGTTGAAAGTCTTAACACTTCAAAGGGGAGGAATACCATGCAATGTCCCAGGTATATACTAAGGTCACTATCTTGGAGTTACACCTAATATATTCAACTGCAATCAGACATGAAACACCTGCATGTGAGTAACAGTTCTCACAGAAATGCTTACAAACCCTTCTTGTGTTAAAGAATTTCAATTGTACGTCAATGATGTCAGCAGATTTGCTATGGTTTTGTTATATGGATGTTTGAAGGCGGTATTAAATATGTGATATGTTAAGAACTTGAGCTGTGTTTAAAATTCAAATCAATGTGTCATTCATAATAACAGGTCTGTTATGGGCTTGAACAAGTGCGAAACTGACAGAAAAATGTAGTGGGAATGTTAAAGATCATGTAAACGAAAATTAACGTCTAAAGCAAATTGTATTTGTTATTGAACTACGATTCTACAATCTTGTACTTGGTTCCCAGAGGAAATTATGAAGAATGAAAGCCACTTATAACAATCAGACTGCAATAATGAAACAGTTTGACACCAACACTGTTATATCTGCTGTATGTCATTGAGACTGGTGTTGTAATGAATGCTTAAGATTTTGCGCTTTTCGGTGATTCTACAATAAACGGAGATTGTTATGGTTAAATTTGCATCTGTAATTTTTGACCTGAGTGTCAGTATGCGTGACGTGCGATTGAGTGTATTACACCGTGGCTCCATTTATTTGCAACCCTGAATGAGTAATTAGACATGATGTCAGGAAAAGAACAACTAAAAACAATGCAATCATTAGCTGTTTGTTTGTGTATGTGTATGTGTATGTGTATGTGTGTGTGTGTGTTTATACTTTAAGCAGAGAGAGTCTAGACATAAAAGGAAACAGAACAACAGCAGTATATACAATTGGTAC